AACATATCAGAGTAATAACTAAAATACTTCAAGTAGTGTTCAAATGTTGTGTGATGAGTGAAAAGTTTGAGAGTCTTCGTTTCTAATTAATTGATTATTTTAATTAATTAATAATTTTATTAATTATGGCTAGCAATAATTAATAAAAGGGTGGTCGTCAGTACCCTCTTTCTCTCTCTGACCTGGCCCCCGGCCTACTCCTCACATTAGGTAAAGGTTTGTTTGTTTGTTTGTTTGTTTTTCTCCCCAGAGTTGGTGGGGTGGGGAACAGACCACAGCCACCACCATATGGCTATGACCCACTCACTGCTTACTCTCAGGATCTTAGGGGTAAGAGAAATGATTATTTCTCTCTAATGTTAATCACCAATTATTGAATTAGGACCAAGGTTTTTCCCCTTTTCTATTTCCTCATTCAGAAATCAGCCCCTGTAAGATAATTCAGGCAGCCTTTGAAGTGTAGGGCTGATAATGAGAGGGAAAATTCAAATCTGCTCAAAAAGAAATTTAAGTTTAGGTGAATTGATGGATTCTGGCCTATTGTGTTTTACTGAGACAGATCTGGGAAAATGTGGATTCTCCCTTTTGTGAGATTATCCTAGATGAGATAATATGGGTATAGATAAATCTGTTTGACCAAGACTGAATGATCAGAGTCATATCCCCCATACCCTCATTAGAATAACCTCACCTTCATTGTAATATTCATTCTTCTCATTACTTGTTAACCAATCAGAATTAATTTTGACCCACTCTTCCAAAAGGATATAAGCACTGAGTGGGTCCCATGAGGGATCTTTGCCATTCGAGAATGCAGCTGACCCTTTAATTAATTACATGCAAGCATGATTGATAAAATGATTAATTTACCAGAAACTATATCTCTGTTACTTTTAGGGTAAACTTGGTGTGTAAGAATATACTCTACTACTAGTCACTGTGACTTCTGAGCCTCCACCAGTTGACTTCATTAATTCTTAAACAAAAAACATTTACTAAACAATAAAGTAAAAGCAAAAATAATCATAACATTTACTCAAAAGAAAGCAAAAACAATAATAAAAATATAATTGTCCCCATAAATCAGTATCACATTGTCCCATTAATGCACACAATGTCCACGGAGGAAAATGGACACACAGTTACAGAAACTTAGAGAGATATGAGTAAAAAAAAAAAAAAACAAAAAAAACAAAAAAAACAAAAAACACATATGTCTGGGGCAGCTCAGGAATTTCAATAACAGGCATTGATGTCTATTTCTCTTTAGGGAATAGTTTTCAACACATATTATCTGCTGGGCAAAACTTATGGTTCAATCGTGTCTGACTCTTTGTGACGCTATGGATCATTCTATCTACGGAGTTTTCTTGGCAAAGATACTGAAATGGTTTGTCATTTCTTTCTCCAGTTTATTTTACAGATGAAGAAACTGAGGCAAACAGGGTTAAGTGACTTGCCCAGAGTCACAGCTACTAAGTGCCTGAGGTCAGATTTGAACTCCAGTCTTCCTGATTCCAGGCCCAGCACTCTATCAACTGAACCACCTCACTGCCCCCCAGGGGAAAGCTATTACTCTGCTATCCCTTCTGGTCCTCACAGTTCTTCTGAAAGACAAAGCTATTTCTCTGCTACTCTCAAGATGCTAGAGTAGTGACAAACTCTTTTAACACACAGCCACCCTTGGAAACATACTGAAAAAAAGTTACTCTTTATCGGTGACAAGCAGTTTCTTCAAGGCAGAGAGCTACTGAGCTTCCCAGACCTGCTCTGGCCTTTGGTGGATTCTTCCTATCAAGCTGTAGATAGTATTAGGGAAATGTGGTCTTTTCCCCCAGCTAGCTCTCCAAATAGTAAAAGACTGCTTTATCCAATCAGTTCTCAGAAAAGCAAAGCAGATGCAAAGCCTGTCTTTTCCCCTCTGTTCCTTCCATCTGAGAAGGCAGTCCAGGCTAATCCCCTAAGAAGTTTCCCTTATCTCAGGCTACAGAGCTAGCAGCGGTCAGTTGGCGGTGTGTGTGGCCTGGGGCATGCTTTGTGTTCAGAACCAAGGCTGCAGTGAAGTTGTGCCATGCTACACAGGCAAGTGTTGCCAGAAACACCTCAGATTTACTACACATTTAATTTTAATTAATTTTTGATCGTTGTGCATTCAGAAACCTTTTAATGTTGCCAAATTTTTTGTGACATGGGGTTGAGACCCATGGTTTCAGAGGTGCTGAGTAGAGCAGGATTCTGCTGTAATTCAAGCAACGAGTCAGCTCTCAGTAAAGCACTGACTATTTTCCAATCATCGTGTCTCCCAGCAAAGAGGTCCTGTTAGCTCAGGGCCTGCCGGCTTCTGTGCTCTGCCTTCTATAAGCAATTTTCTTCGGAGCCTCCTTTTCTTTTTGTCCCTAGTCCCTTTTCCCCTTGTTTTCAGTTCTTCTTCTGGCAGGTTGTTCCTACAGCTTCTCCTTTATTTTTCCAATGCCTCAAATCAGGGCATCGTGAAAGCAGTGACTCATCTCTAATTTTTTTTTTTTGAGTGAGTGACTTGCCCAGGCTCACATAGCTAGTAAGTGTCTGAGGCCAGATTTGAACTCAGGTTCTCCTGACCCCGGGACCAGTGCTCTATCCACTGTACCCCCAGCTGCCTTTTTCATTTCTAATTTATGATGTGAAACCCAACAATGCTCCCTTTCTGTCAGGTACAGCCCCAACAACCCTTGTATAATCTTTTCCCAGGCTACGAATAGTTATTTTATTCTTAATCCTAATTTACAAATTGGTTATTAATATAATAGAAAAATAATTACTTTTCTCATTATTCTTTGGTTGCATTAGTACATTATTTATTTAGCTGCATTAGTAAGGAATTTTTAGATATGTCAGTTATGTTTAATAACCTATGTTGACAACAAGATGGCATAAGTGGATAAAGCTCTGGATGTGGCATCAGAAATAACTGAGTTTGAATCCCTGCCTCAGACACTTACTAGCTGTATGACCCTGGGCAAAGTCACTTAACCTCAGTTTTCTCATCTGTAAAATGGAGACAGTAACATCGCCAATCTCAGAGAGTTGTTGTGAGTATCAAATAACTCAATAAAGCACTTTGCAAAACTTAAAATGGCTCTGTAAGTGATTGCTCGTAGCCATGAAAATCATAATTGAATTCCTACTAATTTGATGCCTTTGGTTTTTTTTTGTTTTTTGTTTTTTTGCTTTTTTTGTTTTTTGCAATGATCAAGACCAGCCTTAGCTATGAGGTGAGACTTGAATATTTGAAAAATCCTGGATAGTTCATTCTGAGGGAACGTGATTACTAAGTTTTTGGTATGCTATAGACCTGTGCTTCTTTGCAATCAGACCCATCTTTTTACCACTTCACCCCAATGAGATCATGAGACTGACCTCTAACATAGAGGAGGATTTCTATGCTGTGTGTGCGTAGTCTAAGAAAAGTATAGGATATATGAATATTGCCAAATAAAATCTATATTCTGATATGCTCTTAGGACAGCTTTCTTATTAATTTATTTATTTTTAGTTTTCAACATTCACTTCCACAAGATTTTGAGTTCCAAATTTTCTCCCCATCTCACCCCTCCCCCACCCCAAGATGGCGTGCATTCTGAACACCCCTTCCCCTAATCTACCCTCCCTTCTATTTCCCCCTCTTCTCTTATCTCCTTCCCCTTCTTAGGACAGCTTTCTATTGATATAGAAGCAGCACCATGAAAACAATTATTAACTTTTCCTGTGGGAAATGAGGAGGGCTGTGAGGAGCCAAGGGCTACTAGCCTTGGCCACTTTTCTTAAGACCTCCTTCTGCTTTTCAATCTTTATAATCATCCCCAAAGATCTTGGTCACTATATATTATAAGCAACAGTAAATAGAATTCCTCCTCCCCATGCCTCTTATGCCCAATCATCTCACCTATCGAAATAATCACTTTGTTTTCTTGTGCTGGTTTTTTTTTTGCTCATGTTTTGCTTACTTCCCTTAAATTGACCAGCTCTAAAAAATGGAAACTCCTACAAGATCAGCAAGTCGTAGCGCCAAGTTCCAACACAAACATTACAAAGGCCACTTAGGCAAATATGTAATTATCTATGCTTTTAAGTGTAATATGCTCAAAATGATCATTCTATAAGGAACTAAGTAAGAGGCAGGGCACTTTAGTGGAAAGAACATTGGGCTTATAGTTAGAAAGCCTGGGCTTGACTTCTGGTGCTGCTATTTACTAGTTGGGTAACCTAAGGTAAATTACTTCCCTGGACCTCCATTTACTCATCTGTTAAATGGGGAGGTCAAGCTTCATGACCTTTCAAGTCAGAAGAGTTGTGTGAATTCACAGGATCATAGGTCTAGAGAGATAAAGGAGACCTCAGAAATGATCTACATCAGTCTCCTCATCTTCTAGATAAGCATATTCAGGTCCAGAGAGATGTTAAGTGATATGTCCAAAGTCACAGATAATATCCATCAGAGGCAGGATTTGAACATGAATCCTTTTTTTTCTTTAGGGTCAGTGTTCTTCCCACTGGACCATTTCCCTTCTGATTCTGTAACAATAAAATATAATTGTTGTTCCCAAACTGCCTAAATCTACAAAGCATGCTTTAATGACAATGCATATATTTCTGTTTTCCTTCCAAATTCCCAAATTTCCCAGGATAAAGTTTTCCCATTGTTCTAAATTTCCCAGAAATGTTACTTCTCAGTTGAGGACTGTCAATGAAATTGCCAGAGAGGTAAGTGAAACTGTACCTTTCTTGTGCCACAAAACGTGGGGAGTCAGTCATCAGACTGAAAGAGAAGAAACTAATAATGACAGAAATGTGGAAAAAGAATGAGGAAGTATCCTGCATCTTCCAGTTATAGTGACTGATGTCATTCTGTGGTTTCAGTGTCTGACCCATCCAACGTGGAAGGCCTTTCCCAGTGGGGCTGATGTAGGGTGTGTGGCCCCGGAAGTTTGGTGGTGACTTGGAGAAAGCAAAAGAGACATACCATGAACTTCAATTTCAAATCCCAGCCCAACCCATTGATTGGCTGTGATACTTCTTACACGACCAGAAATACAAATTGTTTTCTAGTCAGACACACTCCCCATCCTCGAAGAGTCTGTCATATTAAAGGTAAGGTGACTTAGTGCCATGGAATCTGTCTACATACTGCTCATTTCAACTGCCTAATCATTCTGAGAGTAAAGCTATATCTTTTACTGTTGTTGTGATTGTTATTGTTGTAGTTTGTCCTTCTCAGAGAGGACCGTGACATCAGGAAGGTGATGTCTTGACTTTCAAGTGAATTGGATTTAAGTGAGGCAGGGGTGCAAAGTCACTAGCCTCACTCTCTCCTCCATTTGTTGGGGTTTTGACGGCTCAGAATGAGTGTAAATAGTAATTGTTTCTATATTGGGCCAGAAACCCTGAGGGTCTTCCCTTCCTAGATTGACGTCTTACTAGAACTCAGTGTGAAGTTAAAATGCTAATTGATCCTGAAAATAAACATCAGTGGTGTGAGTTTCAAAAGAGATAAGTGATTTTGATTTGACCTTAAAGACAAGAATGCCAACCACACTAAAGAAGAAATGTGAACATGTAACATGTTCTCAGGAATAAAGACTGATTTTCTTGGCTAAAACTAATATTTTTGACCCAATCTGTTTCAATGTGACAAATATTCATTAATTCCTAATATGTTGAAGGGAAACACTTGGGGAATATAGAAGCATGTGAAAAGACTGTCCTCAATGACTGATGAGTATTTGGTCTGGAGGTAAAGGACCTGGATTCAGATCCAACCTCTGACTCCGGTACCTTAACATCTATGAACTTCAGTTAGCTTCGGTTCTAATCAGCCTCTGAGATCCTTTATAGGTCTGGGTTTGTGATCCTATGAGTCACAAAATCAAGCTGATGTCACCCTCTACAATCACAACTTTTGCACTTAGAGCAAATGCCTTCATCTCCTATATCAGTAAAAGGACAAATGCCATCTGATGTAAGGTCCATTCAAATCTCTACATTCCTTATAATGTCTCAGCATCAACCAATCTGCCACTTCCCTCTGGTCATAGAGTAAGGTATATTGTACTCCTCACTATGACTAATGCCCTTGTTTCCATTTACTTCTGTCTTCTCCATGACTTTTATATTCATGCCTTCTCTCTCATAGGACTTCACTCTCTCCTCCATTCCTGGTTTTCTCTACTAAATTACAGACAGTTCTCTCCAGTTTAAATAAATAAATAAAAACCTTCCTTTGACTCTTCTATCCCATCCAGTTATAATCCCTTCTCTCTTCTATCTTTCATGACAACATTTCTTGAAAAAGTTATAAACTTCCAGTATCTTTTTTCTAATAACCCATTTTTTTCTTTCACCCTTGTAATTTTCTGCCCCCACCATTTTATTAAAAGTAATTTATGACTAAAGTGTTACCAATGGCCTCCTAACGACTAACCCAATGGCTTTTATTCAATACTTATTTTACTTGATCTTTCTGAATTTTGAGATGCTATTGGCCACCATTTTAGATACATCATACTCACCTGACTCAACATCTCTAACCATTCCTTCCCTGTCTTTCTTATCCTCATCCTCCTCCTATTTCTTTAAAGTGAATGTTCTTAAGGTCCTTTTCTTGTCCTTTTTCTCTTCTGTCTCCATGATCTCTCTAGATAATCTCCTTCCCTCCCATACCTTCAATTGTCACCTCTCTACAGCCCTGACCTCTCTCTTAAATTTTAGACATATCTCCTACTACCTATTAGGGCATTGCTACCTGAATATCTCACTAGCAATTAATCTCAGCAAATAGTATTGAGCTTATTATCTCCCCCAGTATCTCACATTAGATTGTTGTACTCAAAAGGCACTTTAAAATGTTGGTCTAATTGAAAGGAGAGTATATTGTATGTTATTAACTGGGTGGGGGAGGGGAGGAAGAGATCTTTTATTACCCAAAACTCTGAAAATTCCTTATCTGACCGCAGTATTTTGGCAAAAAGGGACCAATTGAAGGAAGATAACACAAATCTGTAGTAGACCCAGTCAGCATGGTTCTGTGACTTCCCCTAACACCACTCCGAAGCACATGAGTAGGGTTAGAGGAGGTGATAGTAAGGGTAATCCAGGGTTGGGATATAACAAGGCATGAGGGTGATAAGATGAGTTGGCAATGGATTCCAGCACAGAAGACAGTATAACATTAAACTGGTTAACTGTGGGGTAGAGATTGGAGAGGGAGAAAAAGGAAGCCAGAGTTGGAGTAAAAGGAAAGAAAGCAGAGGTATAATACTGCAGATGACTTTTCCAAAATATTTAGTCACAAAGGGGAGGAGGTGTACAGAATGATAGCTGTTAGGGATGAATGAGTAAAAACACCTTGAATGAGGCTTTGTTGAGGATGGGAGAGACATGGGTGTGTTTGCAGGCAGCAGGAAATAGCCAGTAGACAGGGAAATATTTAAGATAAGTGAGAGAGTGTGGATAATCTCGTAGAGAAAAAGGATGGCATAAGATCACTTCTGCATGTGGAAGAGTTATCTTGGCAAGGAGAAGGGCCACCTTTTCATGGGAAATGGGCAAAGGAGGAAATAATTGAAGAATTCTTCTGGGCAGTAGGAGATATAGAGGGGAAGGAGTGAGCTCTACACAAATGGCCTCAATCATTTTTTCAGTGAAATATGAGGCAAGATTCTTAGCTGAGAGAGTGGGAGGAGGGAAGCTATGGGAGGTTTGAGAAGGAATAGGAGTCTGGAAAAGCCACTGTGATAAATGGAATAGTGAACTCCTTAAGTTAAAAGATTGCCAGGCAGCAATGAAGGCCCAGTTAAGACTATGTAACATAAAGTGGAGTGAATAATCTATAATAAATACTTAGTAAGCACCTACTATGTACCAGGCACTGTGCTAAGCACTGGAGATACAAAAAGAGGCAAAAGACAGCCCCTGCCCTCAAGGAGCTTATAATCTAATGAGGGAGCCGATATTCAAGCAAATATATACGAGGCAAGCTAGATCCAGGATAAATAGGAAATAACTAACAGAGGGAAGGCAGTGGAATTAAGAGAGGTTGGGTAAGGCTTCCAGTGAAAAATGGGATTTTAAGCAAGAGAGTTCAGTAGGTTCAGTAGGTTTGGTAGGTGCAGAGGAAGAAGAGGTGGAGTTCTAGGGATGGGGGACAGCCAGGGAAAATGCCCAGAACTGAGAGCTGGAGTGTCTTGTCCTTGGAACCACCAAGAGGCCAGTGTCGCTGGAACAGAGTAAATAGAAAGGTAGGAGGAGTCTAGGCTATGAAAGACTTTGAATGTCAAACAGAGGGTTTTGTATTTGATCTTGAAGGAATTTATTGATTAAGGGAGTGATATGATCAGACCTGTGCTTTAGGAAAATCACTTCCACTTTAGTGGAAGATGGATTGGAGTTGAGAGGGACTTAAAGCAGGTGGTCCCACCAGCAGCTATTGCAATAAGCCGAGAATAAGATGAGGAGGGTCTTCACTGGAGTGGGGGTAGTCAGAGGAGAGAAGGGGAATGTTTGAGAGAAGTTGCAAAGATGAAATAAAGAGGCCTTGGAAACTGCTTGAATATGGGGGAGTGGGAGGTAGCGAGGAGTCCAGGATGACTCCTAGGCTGTGAGCCAGAGGGACTGGGGGGATGGTGTTGCTCTCTACAGAAATAGAGGAGGTAGGAGTGGGGTGGGGAGGGTTTGGGGGAAAGAAAATGAGTTGACATCTTCATTAGGATAAAGGGACATGGGACTTGAGAAATTGGGAAGTTAGGGTATTTGATGGAGTATCAATAAGTATGTTGAAGTCCCCAAAAGTATGAGGGCAGGAGTTGGGGAGGAAAGAAAAACTGTGAGCCAAGCATTGAACTTGTTGAGGAAGGAAGGAAAGTGTTCTGAAGGTTTGTAGACAACAGCTACCAGAATCTTGTTTGGGTGATAAATACAGATTGAATGAACTTCAAAGGAAAAAGGACTGAGAGACAGTAGTGGAAGAAGAACCTGTAGGTGGCAATTGGTGGTAAGGAGTAGCCCAACCTCGCCATGA